AAAAAAAAAAAAAAAAAAAAAAAAAAAAAAAAAAAAACACAAAAAAGAACTTGCTTCAATAATAACCTTAGCTTACTATAATTTTTTTCACTCCATAAGATTTTAATTTTTTTTCGTTTTTGACTCCTTTGAAACAACACTTAGCTTAAAGCAAAAACACATTGTGTAAAAATATTTTCTTGATATCTTTATTCTGTTTTTATGTTTCATTTTATTTCTTTACTTTTTGAACTTTTTTGTTAAAAGCTAAGACACAAACACACACATTAGCCTAGGCCTACATGGGGTCAAGTTCATCAATATCACTGTCTTCCACCTCCATATATTGTCCCACTGGAAGGTCTTCAGGGAAATAATACACACAGAGCTGTCATCTTCTATGATAACAATGCCTTCTTCTGGAATACTGCATGAAGGACCTGCCTGAAGCTGTTTTACAGTTAACTTTATATATAAATAAAAGGAGTGCACTCTAAAATAATGATACAAAGTGTATTATAAATACATAAACCAGTAACGTAGTCATTTATAATCATTATCACATGTTATGTACTGTAGATAATTCCATATGCAACTGGCACCAGCATCACCACAAACATAATTAGTGCATTGTGCTATGACGTTATGACAGCTATAATGTTATGATGACTATGCTGTCACTAGGTGATAGGAATTTTTCAGCTCCATTGTAATCTTGTGGTAACATCATTATATATCCAGTCCACGATTGACTAAAACATGTGACACATTACTGTGTTTGTTAAAAGTTCTTTTTAAGACATCTGGAAGGCAAAGATTCTATGTTATTTCCTGTGGAAATTAACCTTTAATCCAAAAGCATTGCGTGTTAACTTGTTGAAATGAATGATTCAACTTCATGCCTCTAACTCCTATAGATAAATAAATTGCCTTAATTTATTTGTTAGGCAGAAAGACCTAAAACTCTGTTTGCTTTCCCTGTAAACTAAAAGGCAACTTAATAAATTATTCATTATATTTGAATGCTTATCTTAAAACAATGAATATGAAATTTTGCTTTATCATCTGAAACATCAGTATAAAACTGGGTTAGAATAGGAGGGTAAAAAGAGAAGGAAAGACAAGTAGAAGCAATTATAGAACTATAAAACCACCAAAGTAGAAATAAGGAAAAAGAAAAAAAGGAGGGAGAGCAAAAAAACAATTATAATTACATTGCAAGAAAAAATTGTAAAACACATAAAGAAAACCTAATCTATTAAGGAAGTATACCACCAAAATGGCCCCTCATATTAATTCATCTCGGGGAAAATTATTATGACCTAACACAGATTTTAATGTAAGTGTTTAGGGTTCTAAAAAGATAAATGAATGGCATCCATTTTTAATAAATGAGGAATTATGGAACAACAAGTAGAAATTTTAAAAGAACATATAGCTATGAAAAAGAATGAAATAGACATCTGGAAATGAAAAATTTAGTTATTTACAAAGAGAAAGTCTTATCAGCTTAAGGAGTTTTGGGGCTGAGACATTGGGGTTTTCTAAATATACAATCATGTCATCTGCAAACAGACACAATTTGACATCCTCTCTTCCTATCTGCATACCCTTTATTTCTTTCTCTTGCCTGATTGCCCTGGCCAGAACTTCCAATACTATGTTAAATAGGAGTGGTGAAGAGGGTATTCTTGCCTTGTGCTGGTTTTCAAAGGGAATGTTTCCAGCTTTTGCCCATTCAGTATGATATTGGCTATGGGTTTGTCATAAATAGCTCTTACTATTTCGAGATGTGTTCAATCAATACCTAGTTTATTGAGTGTTTTTTAGCATGAAGGAGTGTTGAATTCATCAAAGGCCTTTTCTGCATCTATTGAGATAATCATAGGGTTTTTGTTACTGGTTCTGTTTATGTGATGGATCACGTTTATTGATTTGCGTATGTTGAACCAGCCTTGCATCCCAGGGATGAAGCCAACTTGATTGTCGTGGATAAGCTTTTTAATGTGCTGCTGGATTCATTTTGCCAGTATTTTATTGAGGATTTTTCATCGATGTTCATCAGGGATACTGGCCTGAAATTTTCTTTTTTTGTTGTGTCTCTGCCAGGTTTTGGCATTAGGATGATGCTGGCTTCATAAAATGAGCTAAGGAGGAGTCCCTCTTTTTCTAGTGTTTGGAATAGTTTCAGAAGGAATAGTACCATCTCCTCTTTGTACCTCTGGTAGAATTCAGATGTGAATCTGTCTGGTCCTAGGCTTTTTTTGGTTGGTAGGTTATTAATTACTGCCTCCATTTCAGAACTTGTTACTGGTCTATTCAGGGATTCATCTTCTTCCTGGTTTAGTCTTGGAAGAGTGTATGTGTCTAGGAATTTATCCATTTCCTATAGGTTTTCTAGTTTATTTGCATAGAGGTTTTTATAGTAATCTCTGATGGTAGTTTGTATTTCTGTGGGACCAGTGATGAGATCCCCTTTATCATTTTTTATTGTATCTATTTGATTCATTTATTTTCTTCTTTATTAGTCTGGCTAGTAGTCTATCTATTTTGTTAATCTTTTCCAAAAACCAGCTCCTGGATGGTTGATCTTATGAAGGGTTTTTCGTGTCTCTATCTCCTTCAGTTCTCCTCTGATCTTAGTTATTTCTTGTCTTCTGCTAGCTTTTGAATTTGCTCTTGCTTCTCTAGTTCTTTTAATTGTGATGTTAGAGTGTCAATTTTAGATATTTCCCGCTTTCTGATGTGGGCATTTAGTGCTATAAATTTCCCTCTTAACACTCCTTTAGCTCTGACCCAGAGATTCTGGTACATGTGCCTTTGTTCTCATTGGTTTCAAAAAATTTATTTATTTCTGCCTTAATTTTATTATTTACCCAGTAGTCATTCCAGAGCAGGTTGTTCAGTTTCCATGTAGTTGTGTGGTTTTGAGTGAGTTTCTTAACCTTGAGTTCTAATTTGATGGCACTGTGGTCTGTAATTATGCACCTGGGTGTGTAATCAGAATAGATATACTTAGCACTGGCAAACAGCTTCACCTTAATTTCATGACCTGTGGAATAAGATTTATAATGACATGAGAAGCCAAATGAAAGCCCTTCCCACAGTCAATTCTCAGTCCACAGACCTCAAACCAATACTTCATCCTGGAAGAAGTGGCAGATATCAATGACATCCTCAGGTCTTCAAAGATGCAGGTGTGAGTTATCCATTATATTCCTACTTAATTCACTAACCTGATCTTTTGAAATAAAAAAGATGGATCAAGGTGGGTGATGGTGGACTATAATAATCTTAAACAAATAGTAATCCCAGTCACGTTGGCAACTATTTTTACCAGAGTAGGTCATCTCAATCTCTGGCATTTGGTATGTGTTCTTGACCTGGTGAATACGTTTTCAGTCCCTATCAAGAAGGAAAACAAGAAGTATCCTCATTTATTTGGGATGGACAGTAATAAATCATGGCCTTGCCCCAGGTAGTAAATGAAATGAGCCCTATGATTGCCCCAGCTGTCTACCTGGAGGAGCATTCCAGATGATGGCCCAGGGAAGGGAACCTAAGCAGAGCATAATGGCCTTACTGAACTGAGAAGACAGAGCTTAATTGAGGTATATTTTACATACCATCAAATTCACCCACTTCAAGTATATATATCAGTGATTTTTTAGTAAGTTTACTGAATAATGCACCCATCACCATCCATCGGTTTTAGAATATTTTCATCTTTCCATTATGATCTCCATGCCCATTTACAGTTAATCCTTATTCCCATCCCCAACTGTAGGCAATGAATTTGCTGTCTTAGTAAATTAAGCCTTAATAAGCATTTTAACAAATCAATTCCTACAATATATGGTCTCTTGGGTCTGGTTTATTTCATATATCCTAATGTTTTTGAGGCTCATCCATGATGTATCATCTATCAGTAGTTAATTTGCTGAATAGTATTCCATTCTGTGAATATATCACATCTTGTCTATCCATTTACGAGTTGGTGGACATTTAGATTGTTTAAAGTTTTGAGCTATTATGGATAATGCTTTTATGCATCATATGCAAGTCTTTCTATGGACGTATGTTTTCATTTCTCTTGGATAGATGCCTAAGACAAGAATTGCTGGGTCATATTGTGGTAGTTTTAGGTTTAATTTTTTAACCAAACTTTTTTCCAAAATGACAGCACTAGTCTACGTTCCCACCAACAATATGTTAGGGTTCCTGTTCTCCAAATCCTCCCCAACATTTGGAGGCAATTTGTCATTGTCTTTCTCATTTAGTATAGCCGTTCCAGTGGGTATGAAGTGTATCTCACTGTGTTTTTAATCTGCATTTCTCTAATGACTAATGATATATAATAAAGGCATGGACACTTAGTTAAACCGGGGATTAGCATACTACAGCCTGTAAGGCAATTCCAGCTTGTAGCCTACTTCTGTACAGCCTGTAAGCTAAGAATGATTTTTATATTTTTAAGGGATTTGTAAAGGAAAATAAAGGAGAATGTACAACAGAGATTGTATGTGGCATGCTGTTTTTACCATATTTGTTTGGGTGAGGTATGGTGAGGCCAGACTCAGTTCAAGAAAAGGGAACTGGAAAGGGTTTTACAGTTTTGTTATACTCACAGGTTCCTGAAGAGAAAGAATATGACACATTGGGCAACTCAGGAGGGAAGCACTGGGGTCAGTCCCAAGGCAGAGGGAGAAAGAGGAACTGTGGGGAAGTACCTTTATTGTGATTTCTGCAGGAAGGAATGAGGCCGTGTAAATGGGCTTGGGATTGGCTAGTTTGAATAATTTCAGCAAGTTCTGGGGAACAGGGCCATCCCTGGCTATCTGATACCTTGCCTTGGGGTGATATATTTCTGTTGTTCAAGCCACCCAGTCTATGGTATTTTGTTATGGCAGGCCAGGCTAACTAATAGAATAGTCTTTTTGGTAAATAGTACTGGACCAACCGAACATTTATATGTTTAAAAAAAGGAATTTGATGGACTAATATTATACACTAAAATGGATGATAGGCCTAAATATAAATTGTAAAAATATAAACTTTTTTTTGAGGTGGAGTCTTGCTCTTGTCGCCTAGGCTATAGTGATCTCAGCTCACTGCAACTTCCACCTCCCAGATTCAAGTGATTTTCCTGCCTCAGCTTCCCAAGTAGCTGGGATTACAGGCAGCTGTTACCACACCCGGCTAAGTTTTGTATTTTCAGTAGAGACGGAGTTCCACTATGTTGGCCAGGCTGGTCTCAAACTCCTGACCTCAAGTGATCTGCCCACCTTGGCCTACCAAAGGGCAGGGATTACAGGCATAAGCCACCACGCCTGGTCTAAATTATAAAATTCTTAAGAAGGACAAGAAAAAAATCCTTTGTGTCCTTCAGGTAGACAAGGAGTTCTTATGCACAACACTGAAAGCATAATCCATAAGAGAAAAAAAATTTAATTAAAACATTTGCTCTGAAGAACATACCATTAAGAGAATAACAATAAGTAATAGAAAGATAAGCCACAGATTCACAGAACATATATAAATTACATATCAAACAAAGATATATCCAGAATGGATAAAGAACTCTTAAAGCACAATAATAAGAAAACACAATTTATTTTTAGAATGGTAAAAAAATTTACAGACACACTTTTTCAAAGATTTATTTACCATTCAAGCGGTAAGTAAGAATATGTGAAATATTAATATTGTTATTACCTTATGGTGAATCCATGGCTAAATTAGTTTACTTTTATTATTCTATATTTTCAGAATTTTCTAAGAAAATGTATTACTTTTATAATAGAAAGATAAGTGTGATTTACAAATAACAAAGTTCTCTGATATATTGGTTTGACCACAATCAGTATGTTACTGGCATTTAACTGCATCCAAACACATGATAATAATCAAAACTTTGGGGTAAGATTTCAAGGAATGTCAGATCATATTTCACCTTGCTTTCTGGGTATAAAGAGGACAAGAAGTTAATAAAACTTCACTTTTATACATTGAAGATTGGGGGAAAACAGGCCTATTTTATATAGTTGGATATAACCTTTGTGAATGATTATTATTTCTGGTTCAATAATCAAATCTTTCAGAGAGAGTTTTCATGGTTAGTGAAACATTCCATAACTGAACCCCTGTCTTAGTTGAATTTATCATTTTCGGTTGTAGGCATCGACCTACCAACTGGTGAATGTTCTATCTTTGGATATTTTGTGGATATAGAGCAATGTGAATTCATACCTTGGTCAGAGTTAGTTCCTAATGATCAGACACTAATTCAAAGAGGTAAGAATAATTATAAGAATCATACTTGTAACTTTAGAAAATTGGGAATACTCTATTTATAAAAGTAATTATACCAGCAACTTTGAGGATTAATATAAGTTTGTGTAGAGACTAGTTTAGATCTATGTTTATAAAATACATCTTTAAAAACATAACCTTTGAATATTACTTTCTGAGAAATTTAGAATATATTTTATTGAATCAAATGCACATTGCAAAACTGTAGCACACTGAAAGTCTTCCTAGGAGCATTATCTATTTCAATTAGTTGTAATTATTGAGACAAGAAAATGGAAAGGACTACTTGTAAAATGTGAAAAACATTTATGTGAAAACTTACACTTCATTATAAATGAAAATGCTAATTAGAAAAGAATAATCATAGTTTCACAAATATCCATATATGCTAAATTGTTTTTATTCCCAATCTTCTGCATCTACAGATGTCAGAAAAAAGAAACTTGGTGCACTTTTACAGCTTGGTAGACATTTGAAGCAGAGGCAGGAATCTAATAATCAAGCCTCTTTAGAGTTCTTGCAAATATTAGAAATTTAATAAATACAAATCGAATTGCTTTGAAGTCAGATTTCTCCCATAAAAGAATTTCAGAGTTGGTTATAAGAACTTTTGACAGCAAACAACCAGAGCTATCAGAATGCTAAAGCATCCAGAGAGTTTTAACTCTACATTTATTTTCCTTGGAAATGCCAAGACTATTTTATTCAATATTTTGTTACAATAAATATTCATGGGCAATCATATTTGTTTACAAGCTGTGAATTGTATTTCATATGTTAGTGCTGATACTGACTCAGAGCCTTAGCTTTTTACCACTATATAGAAAAGTATAACTCAATATCATTAGCATGTGACTCCACATCTTTGTATACCACTCACGTGGGAAACCAGAGCTGTTTTCTCCAAATCTAAAACATTACTTCCTCTGGTTGCCACTTACTTTAATTGCAGGCAAAGAGCTTAAAAGTAGCCAAAACATTCCCTGGCTTTCAAACCCAAACGTGTAACAAGAATTTAAATGTCACCATGTAATTTTTTTAATGGTAAACCACAATATGATAAATTGTTTGCACATCCTTGATGTGCTTCAAAAGTCTCCTTTTCTGGTTGAGTAGGATTTTTTTTCTTATACTTCTTTACTAGAGTAATCCTAATGTATTATTATCAGAAGATGTGTTTTGAAGGTCACCCAACATTCATTAATTTTTTATTCATTCCAGACATATTAATCAATCTATTTTCTAATGTGCTTACCTAACTGTTTGTTATGTGGGATTATAGGGAAAGATGTAAGTGGTTCTTTCTTTAATAGCAAGGTAGGAAAATATAAAGGAAAATGATGAAAAAGTTAAATATTAATGTTACCTCTTGCATCAATACCCTGTGTGGCATTCACTGCTGCTTGTCACTCCCATCTCTATTCTTTCCTGTTTCTCTATCATTGGAAGATTCATCTAGCCACTTCATCATTCGGCTAAACCTCCCTTGTAGAGAGGTGTGGTTACGTGACCAGGTTGTAGACAGCAGGATGTGACTAGAGGTGAATCATGCAAATTCCAGATTGTACAATCAAAAGAAAGGAATATACACATATTATCCAATTTTTTCTCCCCCTTCTTGCTCCTGAGATGTGGTGGTAAGACCTAAAGCAACCACCAAGAACCTAGATATGGAAAGTGCAGGCTAAGGATGGCAGGAAAAAAAGATAAAAGAATCCTGGATTCCTAACACTGTGGAGCTGACATATAGACCATGGGCTGTTATGTAAGAGAGGAATCAAATTCCACCTTTAAAAGCTATTTTTTATATTTGGATATTTGTTAAAGCAGACGGAACTTGTATCATAATTAATATACATTTCAGCTCTGGGGACAGGGCATACCTAAACAAAAAGCAGCAGAAACCTCGGTAGAGGTAAATGCTCCTGTCTGACAGCTTTGAAGAGAGCAGTGAATCTCCCAGCACCGAGGTTGAGATCTGAGAACAGACAGACTGCCTGCTCAAGTGGGTCCCTGACCCCTGAGTAGCCTAACTGGGAGACTTCCCCCACTAGGTGCAGACCGACACCTCACACCTCACACGGTGGGGTACACCACTGAGACGAAGCTTCCAGAGCAAGAATCAGACAGCAACACTCGCCGTGCAGCAATATTCTATATTCTGCAGCCTCCACTGCTGATACCCAGGCAAACAAGGTCTGGAGTGGACCTCTAGCAAACTCCAACAGACCTACAGCTGAGGGTCCTGACTGTTAGAAGGAAAACTAACAAATAGAAAGGACACCCACACCAAAACCCCATCAGTACATCACCATCATCAAAAACCAGAGGCAGATAAAACCAAAAAGATGGGGAAAAAGCAG